CCTGTGAGTTGGCATCAGATACTGGCTGTCAGTTAAGAGGAACCATTCAGAAGAGTAGTTGAGGTGGATTCTTATGTTTCTAATCTCAAGGACTCTAAAGAGAAAAATAAACTACTTGGTGTATTTCCTATGCAAACTTCAAAGCAGCATGTTTGACAGAGTATTAGAAAAGATAAGTAAAAGTAAACGTCACCCACCTACGTTAAGTCATTTGACTATAATTAAATAATGAAATCATTTGGCACTTTCCCTACCCCAGTCAGAAAGAGAGCGGAATGTATTGACCACTCAGGGTAGTTTATCCAGAAAAAGTGGTACTCATGATCCCATTTCAAAGTAAATTCAGGTTAAATCTGGTGCATAACCTTAATATGCATCATTTTTTTCCTTCTTGTGTTTCAAATAGATCTCTAAAAAATCAAACATCCCTCAGTGTCTTCTTACCATGTAGACTCTGCCCCTTATTCTGAATAATATTGTATATGAATTGTGAATAGATTAATTTCAAACTAACCCTAGCAATTATTTGATTACAATTATTCCATGAACAATCTTTTGGGCAACTTCTAGCATTAACCGAGCTAAAACTGAGTCCTGTAGTTGTTTAGGTGGCCTTGATGCCTAAATTCAAGTCTACAAAAGCAAAGTGACACACAATTCTCAGCCAAAATTGAGGACAGCATTTGCCTCTGCTCCCCTTCAGAATGAGATGCCTGATAAAAGAACTCAAGCCAAATTACAAGATCCTGGGCACAGTCACGTAGGTGCCTCTGCGTGAACAATCAAATGTCTTCCTAGGACTCTCAATCAGAAGTTAAAATACCCCATCTACTGCCCAGTGCATGTTGGGAATAAAAGGCTGTTCTGATCCATAGATCCAATGGGATGTCTGATAATTGAAAGAAATTCAAGCAGAATTAAAAGACTATACACACAGACAGATGTTATGGCCATGCATGAACAACCAACACAATCTATTGCCATATACTTATTGGGGATGAAGCTGCTCTAACCCAAACAAAAAGCAAACCCATCGCTGTACATAAATTCAGATACCTATAAAGTTGCCTTTCATATGAAACTTTGGCAAGAACTGAATTTAAATAAATACAACTCCACACCCCCTACTGACCACCCTTTGACTCTCTAATGCGCAGAGTTCTTTGCTCTGTGGATTATCTGCTGAGGTTTAAGGCAATCTGCATTTTCCCGTCAGTTCTCACTGCCTTGGCCCTGGTTCAATTCCAATTTAAGGAAATACTTGAAATACTGTCTCTTTTGGTAGCACGCAAACACTCCAGGAATTTGATGCTTTCCAGAATAAGCCATGCTTGTTATATAAGTCCAATCAAAGACACACTTTCAGAACAGAACAAAAGGGATTAGATCCGCTTCAGTTTCAACTGTCTAAAGAGAGTTCTCAGTCATGGATTTGTTAATGGCTTTTGTGCAAATAATGGAAATGGAATCATGCATTTTTATTAGTCACCCAAGAAGCTTTTGGGTTTCAGGTTCTGGGGGGGCGAGGCGGGGGGGACGGGGGCTCCATCACTCGGCTCTTAACAACTTGGAAAACATCTTGCCTGATTAGGAAGTTAGTCATTTCACATGTTGACATGTACAACAGTGTGAAGTCGAAAAACCTCACAGATTTCATTTGTAAGTAACAGGATACATCACTTTAAAGATGAAACGCTCAAGGATTTGTGGCGCCTCTCTTTGTTCCTGCTAATCCGATTTTACTTTTGGAGTGTCAGATATTTTGTAAATATATGCGGTTGAATTCAAACAACAAATTTTGACAACCCGTTCTCTAACTCACTATAAAAAGCACTATTCTGGTTTATTGGTAGGTGTTGGAGTCTGAGAGCCCAACCTTTGAGACAGATTTAATATTTCACCAATCAGTAGTGTTCCAGTCCAAGCCCTCTCTTGTCATTCAGTTTTAAAACTTAAAACAGTTTTAAACATAAAGTGTTCTTGGAAAGGAGTGAGAAAAGAGAATTTGGGGAATGTCCTTGCAGTCCTCAGTTTCTGGAGAATGTTTATCCCTTCTTGTTTTAGCCTTGGTCAGAGACATCCCCTGAGGGTTTTCCTTTCCATTTATTTTCTCCATTTAAGGTTAACATATTAGGAGTTTTGCTACTGAGAGAGTAAAATAAATAGTTTGACGGAGCTTTCTCAAGCCTCCTGCATTGACCACTGCCTCCTCCTGGTTCACGGGCCTCCGTCTCTTCAACACAGGTGGTGTGCAGGCTACCAGCAGAGCTTCTTGGTGATGTGGCATATCTGTCTGTGTTCTGAGGAAGCTGGGGGGAGGGGAGGAGGGGGGAGGAGCTGTTAATTTGTACGCACTGAAATATAAGAGATAAGTTTCCCCCAATCACATTTTAACGTCAATTGGCCTATGAAATCTTATTGTGAACTCCACTGTAAAATCATGGTACTAGGTGTTCGGTTCCATATAACAGTGAAAACAATTGGGTGATATGAAAGCACTACAAAACAAGAATAGCATCTGAATTGTTTATAACTCTAAGATTAAATTGGGGTTAATATCAGCACTGTGATTGTATTCATTCTTTATGTTCATTACCCTCGTCCTCATTGAGTACCAAGGTATCAGTTAATTCAGTCTAGATTTCAAAGGTAAAATCCTCTTCCTCTTGGTTCATAATTATACCTCATATCTTTTAGGTACATTTTTATGCTACTTTTTCTTTGTATAATTTTCCCGTTTATTTCAATATACAAATTCAACCTCTTCCTTTCACAGTATAAGCTCTGTAAAAAATCAATAGTATAGTCCATGTTTCAAAAATTGTCACAAAATATATTTTCCAATAAATTTGCAAAAATTCATAGGCCAAAACAATTGACTGAATAAGCCAAGTATGATTTTTATAAGAAACAAAAAAAGAAACAGATTTAAATAGTCATTTGAAATAATACACATTTTCAAAATAGTAAAGTATAAATTAATAAAATCTGAAATTCCAACAATGCTATAATCTCCCTCCAACAATAGTTGCTAAATATAAGTAAAACTGCTCTAGATAAATGATGAAGATGAAACCATCTGGTGAAAACTGGTTACATTTAGGGCCTTAATGTTATTAAAAAAAAAATTAAAGTCCCTGGAAATAAGTAATTCTCTAGTAAAGCTTTGGAAATCTGACTAGAAATAGCTCCCTAATTATGACTATTTTCATGCTATTTTATTTCACCATTTCTTTCCCCACCCTGGGAGAGAAAATGGGTATCATCATAGTTAGCTGGTGTTTGCATTTTAGCTTTATTAGAATTTCACAGTAGTAATGAACAAAACTCAGCTTTCTAACAGAGGTGAACTACAATGGCCATGTTGGAAGAGAATGATAAATAATGAACAGAGCACACGAGGACAGGAGAAACATTCTGAAAGGTGGAGAGGGTGAGAACCAGGCAGACAGACAAGAAAGCCAAAGAAGCTCGGGTGAACTGCAATGGCCATGTTGGAAGAGAATGATAGATGGTGAGCGGAGCAGAGCACATGAGGACAGGAGAAACATTCTGAAAGGTGGAGAGGGCGAGAACCAGGCAGACAGACAAGAAAGCCAAAGAAGCTCATTTGGTGCCCTTTACAGATTGAAGAAAAACATATTTATCGACAGTCTTTTTTGACAAATCTTGACAGATGATTTCATTTCAATGTTATCCCCACTCATCCACAAAGTATAAAAAAATGTTTAAACTATCAGATGTTAGAGTGCTAATATACATGGCAACTCAGTGAGTGGTGTTGAAATCATGACAGATTATTTCATTTCAACATTATCCCCACTCATCCACACAAAGTATAAAAAAAATTTAAACTATCAGATGGTAAGAGTGCTAATATACATGGCAACTCAGTGAGTGGTGTTGGGGAAGTTCATGTCCATCCAACAGTAGGCCCTAGCCATTAGCAACGGCTAAGTGGCTGGATTAAACATCTCCAGAGAGCTCTTGCTCTTGTAAGGTTTGCTTCCTATGAGAGCATGTTCCTCCTCTTTGGCCTTCGGGTGTGGACAAATCAGAAACTCTAAAAATGGGCTAAGACGATATGACAGGGAAAGAACTAAGTCATCTCATGCGTCATAAAATAATACTCAACATTAAAAAATGTTTTTCTACAATAATTGTTCTGCAAACATTTTATTAAAATGTATATTTTTAATTGATTTCAGAGAGGAAGAGAGAGAGAGAGAATCATTGATCAGCTGCCTCCTATACACCCACTACTGGGGTTCAAGCCCACAACCTGGGCATATGCCCTGACCAGGAATCGAACTGACCTGGATCATAGGTCGACGCTTAACCACTGAGCCACACCAGCCAGGCTGCAACCATTTTTAATGACTTAATCTCAATTGTTATCCATCAAACACTTCACTGGGAAAAGCCACAGTATCTGATACTGACACAGAAATGGGTTTTGTAGTAACCATTTATTTCCTGCATCTTAAAAAAAATAGATGAATCTCATCTTCCTTGGCTATTGGTTCAAAATATATATTAAATACATTAAATATTCTCTGGTAATAAATTGATCCAGTAATAAATTGAATATAATAAATTGAATAATATGTTAGATTTCAAAGTTCCTGGGTATATTTTAAAACTCTGAAAGGTGACACTTTATAACTAATGATCTCTTCAGGCTTAAAGAGCAAAACCTTTTAGTTATAAATGCTTATGAGAGAAATTGAATTTTTTAAAGTGAGAGCTTTTCTTCATTTTCACCCACTAATGGTCACCATAAAATAAAAACTTAAGTTTATGGTTATAAGCATAGGACTAATAACTGAAATTTAACTTCAATACAATTATAGATTCTGCCCACCTTATTAAGCCCTGATTTAAATAAGATTAATGATAATGAGATATTAACTCACAGGTACACCAAAAACCAGTCGCATGTTATGATATTTTGTTCCGCGCGCTAATGAACAAATTAAAACATCATTTTTTTTCTACAGGAAAACTGAAGACTTTAATAACAAACCCTCCAAGGTCACAATGAATACAGGTATGCCGTCTCTCTTAGTTTTAACCTTTTCAGCCCTGCTCTCTACCACACCATCTTGGCCCTAAATCATTAGGTTAGCACTTCGCTAATTCAAATGTGATCCTGAGTTTCTGATTAGATGGATAGTGTATACTCATTACTCAATGTCTTTGTCTTTATGTTCTAGTCTTATAGCAATCAAAAGTAGAATTTTTGGTTTTATCTACTCTTACTCAATTTTTTTTCTGTAAATCATGTCTTGAAATTAACTCCTATGTACCCTAGGAAGAGGTGGAATGTCATTTGCATGTATACATTTGAAATCCTTCTTAGAATAGGCTTAATTTAAAGGCAGGTTGCTCTAGTGGAAAACATTTAAAGTTTCCCATTCATTATAAACCCTTTATGTTGACAGCCAGCAGACAGTGCCAAAGCTTCTTATGAAATCAGCTTAATTAATCCATACACACAATACAATAAACCCTTTATGTTGACAGCCAGCAGACAGTTCCAAAGCTTCCTATGAAATCAGCTTAATTAATCCATACACACAATACACCTAAAGCAGCGGTTCTCAACCTGTGGGTCGCGACCCCTTTGGTGGTTGAACAACCCTTTCACAGGGGTCGCCTAAGACCATCCTGCATATCAGATATTTACATTACAATTCATAACAGTAGCAACATTACAGTTATGAAGTAGCAACGAAAATAATTTTATGGTTGGGTCACATCATGAGGAACTGTATTTAAAGGGCCAGAAGGTTGAGAACCACTGACATAAGCATTAGATTTTTAGATGTGAGAACAGTATCTCCAATTAGCTTAACAACATGGGTGCCTCTGAACTCTGTATTGTATACAGATTAATTGTACAGTCTTTGTGATACATGCTATGTACATGAATTTTTTTCCATAGTAGAAATGTTTTCGCATACATTTTCACCTTTTCTCCCCTGAAATCTTTATATTCGATCGTAAGTAATTCTGGAAAACAACTTTCTCACTGAAATTTTGTAACTTGTGTTTAAAAAATACTGTTTCCTATCTGCAAGCAATCACTGGAAAGTTTGCTGTCTCTTGTTATCAGGGGAGGATTAGCAACCACTGGTGAGAACCAGTCTCTAATCCCTAGATCAAGTGTAGACACATGCCCCATGCCCCGTGATGCTGTGGCTGCCCCTTAGCAGAAACCTGCCCTAACTGACCTCTACACTCTAGGTCAGCTGGCCCCTGTGAATGTCGACAACTCATAGATATGTAGAGCAACAGGCAAGACAAGGATACTGGTGACAGTCAAAATATACAAGGAAGACTTAGAAACCCAGAGAAATTATAACCCCGGAGATGAACCAAGTAAAGGCATTTGGACAATGGGAAGTGTGGGAATTGGACATGGGAAATAGAAGAAGGAATATATTAGGTAAAGGAGATTGAAGAAAGCAAATAGAATAGACAGCTTGTAGCTGAACTAGGATAAGTCGTGTTGTGAAACTGCAGTCAATGCAGCAGAAGGTCCACAGGAGGAGGTTATATTTCCACAACGAATAATAACAGAAAGGCATTGATATCCATAATCGTTCTGAGACATGTTCTCACAGACTTAAGTTGACTTAAGACATACCTTCCCAATATCCTTCACCTTGTGGAGTGCTGACTTCTATTTATTATAACCCTATCATGACAGATGTATAATATGTGATTAAATAATTAATCCTCCTGTGCATAGACTTCAACTCTAAAGGCAAAGTAGGCAAATTGACATTTGTATATTTGTTTAGGTTGTTAGGGTACTTGAGCCAGTTGTCTGCTATAGTAGCATGAATATAACCCTCTAAAGCAGTGGTTCTCAACCTTCCTAATGCCATGACCCTTTAATACAGTTCCTCATGTTGTGGTGAACCCCAATTTCATTGTTACAAATTGAAGATAATTAAAGCATAGTGATTAATCACAAAACAATATGTAATTATATATGTGTTTTCCGATGGCCTTAGGCGACCCCTGTGAAAGGGTCGTTCGACCCCCAAAGGGGTCGCGACCCACAGGTTGAGAACCGCTGCTCTAAAGCATCCTCTCATGTAAAAGGAGCTTGGCTCCATGTAGAATGCTAATTTGCACAGCTATTTTATTTATATGGGCGAACCTATATGTACATATGCATGTAAAATATGATATTCAAACTTAGGCACACAAAATTGGTAAGAAGTGACAAACCCTTTATTTAAAATTCCAAACTAAGACTATAGTGCTATTATAAAAACATGCCACTTTTTAATATATGTGTAAATATTGCTGTAGGAAGGTGAAGAAAGCATTGTTGCTATATCTACAAAATGAAAAGTTAGTACTGAAATATAACACATCAAATTAGTCTTCGTTATCTACCTACTAATCACTAAAGACATATATTACTATTTAAATACCTATGTGTCAGTCACTGAAGTTAAAAAAAAAAAAGATTATTTTCAAGCAAAGCAGCACTTTGTTTTAGTCAAATACTAAATGAGCCAGAGGAAATGTGTTCATTTGTTACAATGAAGTCTCTGAACAATGTATAGAAATATGTACAAAACATGCTATATTTCCACTCTAAGGATCTGTGACCCATTATTTTCTAAGGCAAATCTTAGCTCTGGAAGAAAGGAAAGAGAGAAAGACATGAAGTAATTCATTGTATGTGCTTTACCCATGAGTGTTTTCAGCAGTGGAAATAGCTCCCAAGAATCATGCAACTGGGAGGAAGAGGTACAAGTCATTCATGACTAGGTGAAGGTGAGAGTGGCACTAGGGTTCTTCAGAATGACCTAAAGCATGCAAGACAGATCCTAAAAATATCCTTTTGAGATCTTAAAAATATCCTTAAGAAAGCACAGAAAGTATCAACACACGAGTAAATAGAAATGGGATAGAAGAGATTCTCTGTTCCAGCAATTTCACAAATGCCTCAACTTTTCTAATTAAGCTCTTTATTAAACTGTTAATAAAGACAGATTCTCCATTTATTTCATCTAGGTCTTAGAGTTCCTTAGACTATAGATGTCATTTAACCCAGAGGTTCCTACACTCTCAGGCCAAAAGAAATACCCAACAGTTCCATTTATTAATTATCTAGGGGCAAACAACTTAATAAGTACTTACATTCTGTCAACTCAGAAGCAATTTGAAAAAATAATACACTTAAATTGAAAAAATAATCATTTTATTTTGTTCTTTATGACTGCAGTTAATAACTAAGGGAACATGTGTGTTTATTGGGCACTGCAAAACCCCACAGACCTTGAACTCAGATTGTACATCACCAGTCTCATTTACTGCCCAAAATTACTTTCATGGGGTATTTGCTTTTTTGTCACAGCCATCACCAAAAACCCAACTTTTCAAAGATATAATATCATCTAAAGGAAGACAACACAAGCTTTATTATGGTGAAACTGGAAACTAACTCAGGCTAGTAGTTCATGCAGTATCTAATAGATACCACTGAGTTTTCCTAAAAAATGTAAAATATCCCTCAAAACCCTCATGAACCAACTGAGGTAGCCGGGGCACCTCTGCACAGTTTGGGAACCATAGGTTTTACCAATGACCTTGAATCTTCTCATTCTGAAATCCTCCCTTTTTATCATTCTCACTGCTTGTCTTCAGATGTTCAGAATTGAACATCAGTTCACTTGTATGTGTAGACCCTTGACTACACAACCCTGTTAGACCATCGAAGCTGCTACAACCGCATATTCCAAAACATTACCTCCATTTATCAGAAACTCTGATCCCTCATAGCTATTTTCAGTTTGCAGTTTGCTGTATCCCATTGTTGCCTCCCTTAAAGACATCTTTAGTTTATGCTTCCACCATTTATGTCTTTTTATGTTGCGTCTTTGAATTATAGTCTTTGATTTATTTGACTTTCTTATGTTGTTCCATTTTTCTATTTTAATTTTTATCTGAATTAGAAAACTTATTTTAAACATATTTAAGAAATTGTATTTTGATATGAAGACAATTCCACCAATTTTAAGTAGTAATTTGACCTTACTACTTGTGATTTTACCAGTAATTAGTTCAGATCATACTTCCAAGCATTAAGTTCCTTCATGTTCAGTAAACAAAGTGGATACTTTTTTAAAGAAATAAACAAAAAGTATAACTGTCTAATCACTACATTGTACACCTGAAACTAATATAATATTGTATGTTAACTGTAACTGAAAAATAAAAAATATATTAAAAAAAGAAAAAAAGAATGAGAATAGCATGTGCCAATATATAATGATTTATGTTATCATATTGCTGGTTACATCATTTGTCTCTCTTGTTATAACTTTTAAAAAGAATTAAACTTCGGTTATTTTGGTTTCAGGGGAATGAGAAAAACTATTTATTGCACATTCCATATACAAAGGAATGTGGGAATGGAATTGGAATCTGTTCATAAATAGAACATTAACCTTTCAATTTTAGAAGTCTTGTAACTCGAAACTTGTATCACATTATAATAGCTGGTACCTTTTCACTTACTTTACTTCATGTTGATATTTGTGTAAGTGTAAATAGGTATATCATCATGTACATGTTCAAAACTATAAAACCAAATTAATTTTTAGCATGGTCATTTCAATACTCTATGTGTCAATATTGTCTTGATTTCAACTAGGCTAATTATTTCCATAACCTATATTAACTATGGGAAGACATAGAGTTTCCATAATGCTATATTTCTCTTTAAGAATCCCGTATATCAAATATATCATGGCTATATCTGTTAACAGCATTTACTTCAAGAGGTGCTTAAAACCATCTTCAGGATTCATAATAGCTAAAACACAGTAAGTCTAAATGATGGCTACAAAAGTATATTATATTATGGCTCTTAACCCTGAAAGAGCGCTTATTCATAACTCTAAAAGCTAGTTACTCTGCATAAAAATTTAACAGTTGAATGAAAAAGGTATAAACAAAGTTGAGTTTTATACTTGTATGTTTTCATTAAAGAAAAAACATAAAATGTTAAGTAAAATTTTTTTAAAATGTTTTTATTAAAGCATTGGCATCTATTTCTAAAAACAAACCTTTGCTGTTTTGTTTTGTTTTATTTTGTTTTGTTTTGTTTTGTTTTGTTTTGTTTTGTTTTGTTTTGTTTTGAGTTTGGGGTGGCTGTAAAATTTGCGTATGGATTCCCTGGTTACTAATTCTGACTGTTCATCTTTCCCATGGATGTCTGGCACATTCCACTTAAAATGCATGAGATTGCATGTGCTTTTCCTTTGCTGTGGCTTCTGCTATATCATTTTTTTGCTTCCAGATAGCGGTGGGTGTGCTCGCAAACGTGCCGCCATGTCTGTTACATTAACATCTGTGAAGAGAGTTCAAAGTTCTCCAAACCTATTGGCTGCAGGTATAATATCACTAACTCCCAGAATGTCACACTTGAATGGCTTTGTCTGACCTTTCTCTCTTTCCAGAATTATCTTGTTTGGATGAAGAAAGTGACTGTAAATACCTTGTGAATGTCCCACAAGTTCTTACATTTCTTGTCTCAAGAATAGCTCCTATCCCTCCTGACTGTTTTTGTTCTAAAAATAAAAAAGCCAAAGGAAACCGATATCTTGTAGAAAACATTTTAAAAATCTAATTAAAAACAACAGTGACTTGCCAAAAATGTGTTGGGTAACTGCAAGTGTTAATAACTATTTAAGCTTTTGTCTCTTATGAACTAAAGTAACAATATTTAATCAAGACAGCTCATAGTTGCTTTTGTTATTGTTGTTGTTTTAAGCTAAAAACTATTGAGGGATGGGGACACAGGGGTCAGAGAGAGGGATTTGTAGGAAACTGAATATTTATTAATTCACTTTTTCGCCAAAGGTTGCAAACAGGGTGATAATTTGTTTTAAAAGAGATCTTAAACCTTCCTTTAATCCAGTCAGCAAAGATCCTTCTCATACGTATTTTTAAACACCTTGGTGCAATTAAGATTAGCACCACATGTATACCTGGGTGCAACCACAGATACACATGTACTCTAGAAGGTAATTGGGAGCATGATATTCCAGCAGATACCGAGGTGGGTATCTCTAATAAATGTCTGTGGGGACTTACCTAAGCTGGTGGGCACAGTCTGCTCTGAGAGGGGGCGTGGCTCTGGCAGCTCCACGTGAGCCTGACAACCTCAGGGACTCCAGACCCAGAAACAGACCTGCACCTCTTGCTGACTGATAGGTTTGATTCTTGGTTGGTTACTTGGAGGGAGGAAGAGGGGGGGAGGTGTGTGCGGGAGGGGGAGAGAGGGGTTTCTTTGTTTTTTATTTCTATTTGTGGGGTTTTGGAGAAGTGGAAAAGGGATGGGGAGTGTTTGAATAATTTGAATTCTCACTCTGCACGTCAGTATCTTGTACACACATACATGTAGTCGTTGATTAAATGCTCAAAATGTCCTTGGTCCGAAACTATCCCACGTTGTTGAGGAAGAACAAGCTTCCATCTGGAGAAACCCACTCCTGCCCACCACCTCCAATCCACAAATGGATTTCAATGGCCAAGTTTAAATAGCAGGCCAGGTGGTTCCAGAATATATTAAATTTTTTAAAAATGCAAGTTTCATTGCAATGTATGTAGTACCATTTCAATTTAGTTAAAAAAATATTTTTCTCTCTCTATATATATATATACTAGTATGTATATGTACATGTTTGCTCATGTGTGTATGAGCATGAAAAGATGTTAGGAAAGCTACAAATGTGTTTACATGCGATACCTGAGGGAAATGGGAATAAAGGGAAATAAGAAAATAAATAAAATAAAGTCCAGAGCCATCAGGAAAGGGGAATGCCTATACCATGAATACCATTGACATTTCAGCCAAGTAAATTCTAGCCCATGCTACACAGAGGTGGCCCACTGCCTGCAGCACCTGCTAGAGTGTGTGGCACCGGTTCAACAATGCCGAGTCATCATTATCTACAAAAGTAACCACTAAAGGAATAAGTGACCGGATTAGAGATTGCCACTTTGGATAGTCTACACTAGAATATCAGCAACTTCATATCACTAAACTTATAAGAAAATATTTAATGCTTCAGAATCAAAATAATAGCAAACATTTAAATATTTTAGGAATATGAAATAATATTCAGCAATAAGTATGTAGTGGCTATGGGCCATTTTAAATTTTATACCATAAGGGAATAAGATTTCTAGAGAATGAAGCCCCCTGAATTTTGGACTTCATTGTTACATTAAAAATAGACCTCTTTTGTATTAAGATGCATAGGTATGATCCCTTTCTAAAATTAATTTTAATTCCATTTTGAAGAAATAAATCATCCTCTTTGTAGGCCCTTCACTTTATGGTAGCCTTCAGAAGAACTTATTTGGCACAGTATCTTTTCGTGAATTAAAAGGGGATTAGCAAGTATTTATTGCATTAGATATTGTCAAAACCACATAGCCTTTAAGTAAAAGACTAACTACCTCCACAAAAGGTTCCCTCTCTAGATGAAAAGTCAATATAAGCTGCTTGTCATCAACTATTTGTCGCCCAAGTCAGTCTTTTTCTTTCCCTTTTACAAGAAGTAGAATCCCATTGGATAATTCATAGACACATAGATGTTTTAAATCTAAGTTAGAACCAAAATGACAAGTATAGAGACACAATAAGGCTTTCGAAGTTCATTTTATTTTACCAAAACCACCTGGCAGTCTCAGGTAACACTGCTAAGGATGAAATGCAGTGGTGACCACTGCCCCAGGAAACAGCACCTGCACGTTTTACACCCTTGGGAAAATTTGTGTCTGTAACTCAACTCTCCTTTAGAAGAACAAGGAGGAGGAGGAGGAGGAGGAGGAGGAGGGGGGGGGGAGAAAGGAAGGAAGGGAGGAAGGGAAGAAGGGAGGAAGGGAGGAGAAGAAGAATTTATTATCTCCCTACCTCTCTAAGAAAATCATTTCCTAGACTCCCAAAGATTTGTCAAAATTAAATGAGGGTAAATGAAGAAAATAAATAAAAAGTCTTATCCCAGTACTTAGAACAGCGGTTCTCAACCTGTGGGTCGTGACCCCTTTGGCAGTCGAACTACCCTTTCACAAGGGTCGCCTAAAACCATCCTGCATATCAGATATTTACATTACAATTCATAACAGTAGCAACATTAAAATTATGAAGTAGCAACAAAAATAATTTTATGGTTGGGTCACAACATGAGGAACTGTATTTAAAGGGACAGAAGGTTGAAAACCACTCACTTAGAAGCACTATAGGCATTCAATTAGTTGACTTGAATTTAACTAATGGGTTTTAATTAATTCTTACAAAGTAATTGAGCCATCTAATGGAAGGAGCTATAAGATTTAAAATCATCATAATTTTCAAGAAAAATATAATTTATTATGTCTAATATACCCCATCAGTTAAAAGGAATTTAAACGTTGGAATCATAAAGTTGGAAAGGACCTCTGAGGGCATGCAGTCCAACCCCTGACACCGACCCTGCAATGAGCCTGGACAACCTCTCTGACAGTGTCCTCACCCCCCTTCCGCTGGGCACAGTGAGTGCTCATGGTACCAGTGAAGAGAGGTCATGGCTCTTCATTCTCAAAGACCCTATTCACATCTGTCCCAGTTACTCATTCTTAAATTTTCAGAGACGGGATGACCATCTACTAAAGAACACTAGAAATTTAGAGCTCTGATCCCTAGAATTCTGGCTCTGTTTTTTCACAATGAATGATCATAAATAATATGGAAGATATTGGACAAAGCCATCTTCCCTATGCATATGACAAGTCATTTACCAGCTCAATAGTTTGTTAAATTTATCTTTATTGTTGAAAGTATTACAGATGTCCCTGTTTTCTCCCATTGGCCCTGCTCCCAACCCCTCCCCAGGCCTTCACCTCACTATTGTCCGTGTCCATGGGTTATGCATATATGCATATAAGTTCTTTGGTTATTCTCTTCCTGCCCCCTTCCCTTCCCTCTAAGATCCATCAGTCTGTTACATACTTCCATGTCTCTGGATCTATTTTGTTCATTAGATTCCACATATGAGTGACATTATGTGATACTTGTCTTTCTCTGGATGGCTTATTTTGCTTAACATAATATAGCTCAATATTTTTTAACATATATTCTCTTTACTTAACATGGATCCAGGATGCTTTCAAGCTTTCTGTCACCTGCTTCCAACCACGCTCATCCTCCCTTTCCTACCCTTTCCTGGCAGGAATGAAATAAAAGCAGGGCTGAGGTCCACAGTATCCATGTGGGAGCTATTTATCTTTCAGTGCCTCCGAAGAACTATAATAAAATAGAAAATCAGGACTGGGTGCTTTAAATATTATAATTGGATTTATTTTAAATAAACTTCAATGCTGTACACTTGAGTGTCCTTAAGAGACCACCATCTTAGGTGTGGACTTTAATCATTAACATAAACTTCATTAAAATACAGGTTCATCCTAAAGTTTTAATCCTTGGCCATTTTTATTCTTTGTCCTTTTTCGTACTTCTACACATTCATGTCTCCTATGTTGAGCAGGATTTTTCAGCAGAGCTCACCCTGATCACTAGCTCCTATTTCCGGTAGCACAGGTACAATTTCATTTGGAAATCCCTGGGCAGTATTGGCGGGGGCGGGGTGGGGGGAAAAGAGCCCCTGGATTCAGCTTAGAATGACTCTGATTCTCACACTTACTGTCTATCCCACTCACCATTCCATAATCTCTAATGTGGTCACCAGTAAGAAAAAGAACTGGCCCTCTACAAACTATCAGTTAGAGGAATTTATTTCAAAGTGTCCTTCAAATCTTCTCAATATGCCCTCCTCTTCCTCACCACGCCTATACCTCTTGCACCTCCAAGCATCAGGCTCCTACAACCTCCATCCCCAATACATACCCACACACCCTTCTTTATAAAAGCCCAGTTCTATCAAACCAGAGGAAAGTGAAATCCCTATTCTCGAGCATATAATTATAATACAGATGATGATTATTATTATCCATACTGCTCGTCTTTCCATTGCCATTTCTTCAAGTCCCAAAACTTGTTCCATATCCACAAACAGTGTGTGGTAACCAGGTGGTTATTAAATCTCTCTCCCTGACTGCCCACAGCAGAATTCTAATTGCTGCTCTGTGTGTTACACCGTTTTCTTTATAGAGACATCATTATCATTTAAGGGATTAAGAAGTTCAATCATTTCTGCTCCCATCAAATCCTAGAGATAGTCTAGTAAGCATTTCATATGTAACTCCTCAAAGTTATTTTCACTGTACGGTCCCCATTTATCACCCTGATTTGGAATTTACTGGAGTTACGATCCATACTAAATTAGCAAATATCCTTTTAAAAAAATAAAGATTTGTTAGTCTTGTCTTCTGCATTTGAGCTGGAGTCATTCTAACATACTCTGTGCTGGCTCATTTATTTCTCTTTCTTTGATTTGGAAAGAATCTACATCAAATATTTTATCTCAATTCAAACTCTCGCATTTCTCAACTAATTTTTATCATTCCTAATTCATGTGTTTAGATTTCAAAATAGCCATTTCCTAAGCATTAAAAAGAAAACAAAGAGTCCTTTTTACACGCAACATTCATGTTCTACTAGGCATTGAAATAACAGCAATTTCATAACGGTCTCGGGGGACATATAGAAGGGATCCAGGACCAGGACAGAGGTGAAGCTGGATGAAGTCCTTCCCAAAGTTAAGGCTTTATGGTTCCCGGTGAAGTTGGCTGAGTGATATAATAGAACCAAGCAACACAAATCAGTTACCTCCCATGTCCGTAAGTTATAGAAGATTCTTGAATGTGTGAGTCCAGTAGAACTAATAGTACATGTCATTGAGCCACTTCCCTCCTGCATTATCAAAGCGATTCCTCAGTACTGAAATTTCTTTTCCACAGCTTACTGCAACACAATGAACTATACTGTAACAGCTCTTTTATATTTGAATAGAATGTGACTTTAAGTGGCAATAAGAAGAAAATTCAAAGTCTAGAGAATGATTCGAAGTATCACATAATATGGTAGACACATTTACACTTTCTCCAAATTATAAAAAAAAGCAAATCACAAAAAAAATTTATTGCTGTCTCATACAGGAGTTGAATATGGAAATACCAGGGCATCAGAAGCTAAGGATCCGGAGGTTTGATTTAATGCTGGAGAAACACTTATTGTGTACAAGCCAGATACCCTTTGATGCTTTAATTTGATATTTAGAAATTCATACATTCTGCGTGGGCAATAACAAGATAAAATTACTGGTTGCCATAACACAGGGGAGGGGGGAATCAGTGCTTTATATATGTGTTAATTATAAATTATGGTTATATAATGAATAATATTCTAATTGAAGTAAAAAATTAATGTACAAACTTCTCATTGGTATATTTTATGTACCCAGAATTTTAGAACTGAGATATTGTTCCCCGCCCAAATGCATGTAGTTCTTTGACAAATGATCTTACTGAATTGTTCCTTTCCTTTACCCTCATAGTAATTTGAACATTTCTTTTTCTTTTAGGGCGTGATTCTCAGTCACCAGACTCAGGTACAAAAAAGCTCTTCTGAATAAGCATTCCATTTGCTTTTTTTTTTTTTTTGCTTTTTAAATGTGGGGTTTTTAATTGATTTTAGAGGGGGGGAGAGGGAGGGAGGAAAGGAGAGAGAGAGAGAGAGAGAGAGAGAGAGAAACATCATTGATTGGCTGCCTCCTGCACGCCCCCTCCTGGGGATTGAGCCCACAACCCAGGCATGTGCCTTGACCTGGAATTCGAACCCATGACCTCTTGGTGCACTGGAGGACACTCAACCAACTAAGCCACACCAGCTAGGGCATTATGAGTTGTGTGTTTTTTTAACATATTCACAACCACATTGTGAACCTCACAGTAAAGTTAACTTGCATGTACAGTTATGCATATTGAATTAAATTAAATTTCTGAAGAAAATTTCACATTTATTTTTATTTCAAAAAATGTTAAAAGTGAATGTAGATATGTTTGTATCCAATTTGTGTTCCCTTAATAAAAGCTTGGAGATCTTACAATGACCAAAGTCAAGACACACTGAATGGAGATGCTACATATTCCTCTCTTGCAGCAAAAGGCTTTAGAAGCGTTCGACCAAACCTACAAGAAAAAAGGTCGCCCACTCAGGTACTCCTGCATACTCTTGTCTGTTGTGTTATTTTAAAGCAAGACTGTTGGCCCTCTACTTTAGCATCACTTTTCTAGTAGTAGGTGCATATTTTGATACATGTTTTATTTTTAATATGCTTTTGCTTTCGTATTTGTACTACTGGTCAGACTTGTATAGACAATATGGAAAACAAGTCTTAAGTTCAAAACAGGTTCTTTTTTTCATTCAGCTGATAAAAGCAGATCAGTTTCTAACATAATGTTTAGGTTATTTTCTGAATTATAAAACGTTATCAGCTGATGATTTAGACTTCAAAGTTATGAGTTCAGCAATCATTATACACTTATAAATGTGAGTTATGCAACTGTTAATTATATAAAAGAATTCTGTGTTGGAGATATAAGCAAAATTGTGCTGCAACATAAAAAGAGTTATCAAAACAATGTAACTAAATTGTGTGTGTGTGTGTGTGTGTGTGTGTGTGTGTGCGAACTTCAAAGCCTAAAAGTATGCAAGAGAACATATGTTCACTTTTAAGGTAATTTCCCAGGATGTCGATAGAGACAAACTTTATAATGTATTCTGTATAAAGACTATTTTCCCCTCGAAGACAGCTTTTGATAATAAAATAAAACACATTCCTAATGGAATAAAATTGATCAATCTAGCCAACAAAATGTATAACATTATAAGAAGGTATGACATTGCTGTAGCCTCTTTAAGAATGGAGTTAACACTGGTTTCTTTAATGACTAACTTTGACTTTCTCTCTGTTTTTCTTTCAACATTATTTCTTCCTCCGGATGCTTTTGGCAATCCAGGCACCCCTTCCACCACTCAAAACAGAAAGCTTTTGTAGCCCCTTGACAACCAGTCACACAAAGGGTGACATTTTAGACCAACTAGTAACTAACACACACGTTCCTTCCTGTCCAGAGTACTTGACTAATAAAAAACTTCTTCAGGGAGCTATGCATTCTGATGAAGGCGACCCCAGCCAGACCATTGTATATTCCGAAGAATCTAACACCACTGTGTCGTACACACAGAAAATCACTAACCTGCTACCAGCAGCTTCCAGCACAGGTTCCCCACCCAGTGCTGACATGAGTAGCACCCCATTTCTACAAGAGGACTACATGCAAGATTCTCAAACACGGAAAATCTCTACACGGAAACTAATCCATAACCAGGATCTAGGAAGTAGCATCCCCTTTGACACCCCACCGTTTTCCAAATCTGTTGACCTACCATCATTCCTCAAAAGGCCCTGCTCACCGCCCCCTAACCCAGTGCCTGAGAAACACACAGCATCTCTCTCCATTCAGATAGCTCCCCTGTCAGGACAGGATCCCGAAAGCCACAAACAGCTACCTGAGCTTTCTCCAGAGACTACAAAGATACCTCTTCAGCAAGAGAGACAAAAACCTGCAGTGGCTGCGACCGCTCAGTCCTCAGACTGCCGGGTGATCCATTACACTTTCCAATCTCTTCTGACGGTGTCCTGCAGAGACCCTAACCCCTTCGCGCTGGGCTTCTTGCCTAACCTACTGCTTTGGTAGTGTCCAGTCAGGAAGGGAAAGGAGAAAGAAACCATCCTCCCATGTATAACCCTATGAAATCCATCAATACATTTCTAGGTTTCTTTTTTTAAATATTTTTATTGATTTTAGAGAGGAAGGGAGAGGGAAAGAGAGGAAGAAACATCAATGATGAGAGAGAATCATTGATCAGCTGCCTTCTGCACACCCCACACTGGGGATCAAGCCCGCAACCCAGGCAAATGTCCTTGACCAGGAATTGAACCCAGGACCCTTCAGTCCACAGGCCGACACTGTAGCCCCTGAGCCAAACCAGCTGGGGTGATTTCTTTTAATTTGAAAAATATGTAATTATTCAGATATTTTATCCAGAAATCATGTTCTAAAAGTTTCTTCCTACTGATTTATTAGAAATCATCTATGGTCATTTATCATTTAAGACTCTGCAAACCACTTCGGTGCTCCAAGTACTTTATATATTTTTTTTTATTGATTTCAGAGAGGAAGGTAGAAGAGAGAAAGGTAGAAACATCAATGATGAGAGAGAATCATTGATTGGCTGCTTCCTGCATGCCCCCCACTGGGGATCGAGCCTGCAACCCAGGCATGTGCTTTTGGCTGGAATCGAACCTGAGACCCTTCAGTCCAGAGGCCAACGCTCTATCCACTGAGCCAAACCAGCTAGGGCACTCCAAGTACTTTTAAGTGTTAAAGAAATGTGTTTCGTGCCAGATCTTTTAGCACCAAAATTGTCTTGGTTCACGTGCACAATATCTCTTAACTATTTACTCCCCTGATTCAGATGCCACACTCCCTCAATGTGCCCAAATCTGTGTGACCATTTTAGGTCACTTGTCACCCAGGTCTTGTGTAGAAACTCTAAGGCTATTAAGACTTTCGTAAAAATAGTTTTTATTATAAGGTTATAGGGCAGCCTTGAATCATGAAAGGCAGGTGGTACAGCCAGGCCTTAGGGGAACTGGAGAACATTAGCTACTCTCTCTCCTCCTGACATGCCACATAGTTCCCATTTTCTCTCCTCTCTCTGAGTTGACCTCATTCTCATCTCTCAGCCTCTGCTCTCTCATTACTTCAAGTTGCCTGTGAATGTCCATGACATTCTCTTTGTCAACTTGCATCTGCGGTTCTGTGGCACAAAACTCCCCGACTGGGGCATTCAGTACATATAATTCAAATCCCCAAGGAGAGGCAGTGCCTCTCTGGCCCGGGTTAGTTCCGTTATTCCCCCTCCTGACCAATAGCTGTGGCCGGTGAAATGGAGCCGCCTAAGTATACAAGTGGCTGCCGGACGTTTCCTCCTTGTCCCCAGAGAAGGGCTGTCAGAGAGGACGTCCATTATCACAGAAGGAGATGGGGTAGGAGGGAAAGATTTTCTTTCACAAAAATGCTTAAATCATTTATTTTTAAATTACCATGGAAACTGTAAGTCTTAACAATGATATAAGTAATTCTATCATTATAAGTACCCATCACAAGGTGCCAGCAATTTTTATTATTTCACTTGTTTTCAACTGTCAACTCCAATTATCCTGGTAGTAAAGTCAGTATAAGATTCTTAAGTTTGTAAAAATGTTAGTACCTATATCTAAGAGGTGAAGAGAAAAAATGAGGCAAATACCATTATGACACCTAATACAATACAAATAATTTCTTAGTATAAAGATTGATTTTTATATCACTCCTCCCTAGGTATTTTCTTTTTTTAAATTTATTTGTATTGATTTCAAAGAGAAAGGGAGGGAGAGATAGAAACATCTTATGAGAGAGAAGCATTGATCGCCTTCCACCTGTACACCCCACACTAGGGATCAAGCCTAAAACCTGGGCATTTGTCCTGACTGGGAATCGAACCGTGACCGCCTGGTTCATTGGTTGACACTTAACCACTGAGCCACCATGGCTGGGCTAGGTATTTTCTTAAGTACATTACTGTCAACTGTATTGAAAAGGAGAATAAAACCCATCAATTCCCTTTGCTGGGTATTTAACATATTCTGTATGTTCCTTGAGAAGTGAGGCCTACAAGCTAAGCCATTACAGAGGTTAGAAGAGGGGTGTTAAGACTACAGAGCACAGTGCCATGTTAAGCCAATTGGAACCAGAGACAGAAAGAAAAACATGTCCTCATAATTATTTTTTTAGGTATTGTTAATTTTTTTCTAGAACATTTCAATAGTTTAAAAAATATTGAAAAGTAGAAAAGTGCATTAAAACTGAACATTATTTTAAGTTTAAACATTTTATTTATGCCAAAATTGAATTTATTATCATTTTACTTCATTTTAAATTAGTTTAAAAATATGTAACATCATCACTGGTCATGGTGAAATTATCAAACATGGCTATTCTCTCAATTGAAAATAAGATCAGGAAAATACAGATTTTGAAAATATTATTGTATTATAATATTACTAGAGGCCTGGTGCATGGATTCGTGCACCGGTGGGGTCCTGCAGCCTGGCCTGCACCCTCTCACAATCCGGGACCCCTTGGGGGATGTTGGAGAGCCAGTTTCAGCCCAATCCCCGCAGGCCAGGCCAAGGGACCCCACCAGTGCATGAATCCGTGCACCAGGCCTCTAGTATGCATATAAGATCTTTGGTTGATCTCTTCCCACCCTTTCCCCTCCCCCCTTTTCTCTGAGATTCATCAGTCTGTTCCATGTTTCCATGCCTATGGTTTCTGCTCCTACATTGAGTGTCTGACCCCTGGTGGTCAGTGCACATTATAGCTACCGGACAGTCAACCAGTCTGCCAGTCGGCTGGTCGCTTAGGCTTAGATAGATAGATAGATAGATAGATAGATTGCTTTCATTAAAAATCCAGGATACAGACTTTTCTTTCCTTTTCTTCAGTCTTTAATATGGCTTGATATGGCACTGGTCATTATTTAAATTTTGTTCAGTGTGACTTTTTGGGGGCACTGATTTTTATTTTGTTCTAAGAGTGCATTTTTCTAAGATTGCATTCTTCCCTTTTCCAGTGAGTTTTTGTTACTCCATTCAATTCTGCACCCAGGATAAGTGCCTCACTCATCTCACCCTCTGCCTTTATATCTCTGGCTCAACGAAGTGATGGCCTGGGGGCTTATGACTACACATCTAATTTGTTTGGTTGCCACTGAATTAATTTTACTTCGGCTTCAGGAGGACCGTGCTCTCTCCATTCCACCACAGTTCCTATCCCCTCTGTCCAACACTTGGCCTGCACATTCTGAATCCATCCCAGGCCCAAGGCAGGCACCTGAGTTTGCAATGCCTACGTCCAACCCAACATGCTTTTTCCACTGATGAAGCTCACGCTTCCTGAGTTCCCTGACTCCCTAATTCCTCGAGGGGTTCAGCCTAAACTCAGTGATCCCTTTCATCCACAGGTTCTCCTTAGTGTTCTGGATTGAATTCCGTTGGACGAAGAGGCTCAATGTGGTCTTGAAAACTAGGTGCTCTCTCTTAGAG